TGTGAGGTGGGCTGGGCTGAGAGAGAGGGACTGGCCCAAAGTCACCCAGCTGGCTTTCATGTCTAAGGCAGGACTGGAACTCCTTGTCTCCTGGATTCTAGCCCGGTGCCTTCAACCACTAGACCAAACTTTACTCCAAGTAGAATCTGCCCACGCAAAGTGTGCCTACCAAGAGTAAACTAGGTCCTGGGTCTTCCCACTCCTGTTCTAACACGTTCCCCACTATCCCACCCTGGTTCTGGGGCTGGCAGGGTGGGGCTGATCCAGGGTTTCCCATGGAGCTTCTGTGGCTGACGGGGGACAAGAATCTGGGTCTCCCACTCATGGTCCATAGGTGGGGGGAGCAAGTCACATGGTTGTGATGTCATGACACATATGACATCACCATGGCTTGTACTGACCCTGCGGTCCTGCTCTTTGTCTTGTATAAGTAGATCATCATGGTTTCCAAGCTGTGGCTTAAGGTTTGCTATATTGTGGAGATGCAAGCAAGCGATCATACAATGGTTCGTATGTTGTTGCCTCACCCTGTTCCATCAGTAATATACTGTACATCAAACAAGTAAGGCCAAAAGTGTAGATTTTATCCCGCAAAAATTAACTCTAAAACATAGTCTAGCCCCACAATTCCAGGACACATGGCTTGCAAAGATATCATTCGAGGTACAATGGGATTTACCCCTATATATATATAATTCTTATTGAACTTTACAAATACAAAGATTTAAAAAAAACTAATACAAACTAAGAAAAATATAAAAAGTAAAAAAGACAAAGTGCACAAGAAAAGGAAAAAAAAATAATGAAGAAGAAAGAGAAAAAGATATATAAAGAATGGCTTCCCCCTCCATCAGGGCAAATACAGTACAAGCAACTTCAGTAACTTATCACCTTCTCTGAAATTTCAACAAAAGATCTCTTCTTACTGATCTCTTATCAAGAAACTATAAAGCCTCATCATTCAGACCTAATCAGCAAAAGTCCATTAAGAGTTACCAGAAATCATAACATACATATATATATATATATATATTAACTTAACGAAGTAAATCAATTTTATTGATTTATTAACAGCAACACATCACATGCCTTCTGCCATGCAAAAAATATGGCAGAAGCCATGCAAACTGGTGCATAAAATAATAATAATGCAATACAATTCAGTTAAATGTTGAAATTGTACTTTAAAGGGAGGACAAAGCACATTTATTTCACGTAGTTGGAACTTGCTTTCTAAGGGAGTCTCCCGCCCCCCCCCGAACAAAATCGAACACAATTAAGTCAAGGGAAAATAGAAAACAGCAGTGGAATTCATTCACTCACAGTATGCAAGTCGCTTTAAATAAAATAAGGGCTTTTTTACGGCAGCGCCCCTGAGACTTTAACCCAGCAGCAAGCAGAAATCCAACAGGTAAAGAATTACTCAACAAGATTGTGCAAAGACACAAAAGGTTTCATGGGCTGGAATTGTCCTTCCTGGACTGAACCAGCACCTTGCTGATGAGAGTTATAATTTAGGAAGAGAAGCTGGCATCTTTGCGTGAGTACCCACCCTGGTGCTTGATGGCTCATGGCGATCAGAGCCCCCATCCATGATAGCCAAAGAAGAAGCCGGTTTTCAGAGGACATCTCTGGACCACGTCTGTCCTGCCCAATGTTTTCTCCAGCTCTGACCAAGACTGAAAGAGGATTTTGTAATTAATCCCAGGGACCACACGAGGGGGGCGGGGGGGGAGCCACTGCATGAGTCAGATACCTTGGAAGATTTCCAGCTGAAAAGAAAGCAAAACCTAGCAATAGGCAACAGAATTGAGTAATGCTGTCACTGTCCCAGCTGGCTGGGGATGATGGGGGCTGTAGTCCAACTCAAAGGTGCCAGCTTCTGCTGCGCGCTAAGGGTAGCTGTGCACATTGCCCCCGACTGTGGCTTGTTGGATCGTGGTTCATTGAACAAACCATCACTGGACTGGTTGGCTCAGCACATCAAGCCATGAGCCGTAGTTTCAAACTCCCTCCAGGGAGATCTGTTTGAGTTTAATTCAAACCAACCACAGTTTGACTTATTCCAGTTGATGGTTTATGGCTTAGTGTGACACATGAACAGAATCATTGCTGGTTTATTTAACAAATAGTTGTGTAAGCGCTGGCTTGGTGCTGTGCTGGGTGTGTACAATATGCTAAGCTTAAGTGGAGTTGGTTAGTTTGCAACTCAGTATGTCATAGGAACCCAAACTATGGTTTGTCAATGATCTGTTGCCATGTAAACTCAAGTCCTCTTAACATTTTTTAGCACAGTGTTTTCCAAACTTGGCAGCTTGAAGCTGTGTGGACTTCAACTCCCAGAATTCCCCCAGCCAGCATGTTTTCCAAACTTGGTAGCTTTAAGATGTGTGGACTTCAACTCCCAGAATTCCCCCAGCCAGCATGTTTTCCAAACTTGGTAGCTTTAAGATGTGTGGACTTCAACTCCCAGAATTCCCCCAGCCAGCATGTT